CTTGAAAATCCTTTGAAGTTACTATGACATGGATACAACCCTGAAATAATTAGGATTTTTAGAAAGACGAACAAGGCTGAGTTCATCATCATATAGAAATTGGCCTAGTTCAGTTCCTCTTTCCCAGCACACCGTGACCACTAGGAATAAAAAGTGAGTTCCTCGCCCCTTTGGGGTACCTTCCCAGGCTGACCACTGACCGGGGGGGCCTGTCCTTTCAGGCTGCTCACATGCAGGCTCCCTGCTCTGGGGCTTATCAGATGTGCCAAAATTCTCTCAGCAGAGGCCCTTCAGACACTTTGAAGGACATAATATGTACAGAATGCTACAGAAACCTAAACTCCTCATGATTGGAGAAAGCAGAGACCGGGGATCTGAGGCCACCCCCGCCAAAGGAGACTAGAAGGGCCCAGGTACTTCCCTTCCCCCTGCACTGGAGCAGGCGCAGCGGGCAGGGGCCCAGTGGGACTGGGACACCCTGGGAAGTGAGGAGAGAAGTGCTCCCCTCTGCTAACTAACCTCATGGGATTGAGGCCTACTAGGAAGTGAACGTTGCTGGCACCTCCAGTGGAAGGTGGGAATCTAAGCGTCTCACCTCATTAAAAAAAAATTAAAATTACAAAGACAATAAAGTTGACAGTGAGCACTGGGATTTATAGGTGATGTTTTCCCATTTTTGTAATTCTCTATGTTCCAATTTTTCTATAAAGAAGCATTTAAAGTTCTTAAAATTTTTTAATTAATGGGAAAAAAAGTCACCTTCTAAGATACACTTGATTCCCAGATAGAAATTTCCATCTCTCTTTAATCTCAGGTAGATTTCTGGAACTTTTAATTCCACTCTATCCACCCACCCATACAAACATTTAATGTATTTTTGAATAGCAGGAACCTCTAGAAAGGAGGTAACGGTTAAAACAGCCAATCCAAGGTGGTGTGCACACGTGCACAGCTGGGAGAAGTGCTCTGGGGACACCGCACTGCCATGATGAGCAGTCCCCCATCCCCGGCCTCACACAGGTCCCCTCTCTGCCTAGGGTGCCCTCTTCCTACTTCTTATCCTGGAAAATACTTGTTTCTGTCTAAATACTGCTGGTACTTTTCCTCTCAAAAAGGCTTTCCTTCCAACCCCTGAAGAAAGAAGCCGGCTGGAGTTGCCCTCTCCCCAGACTGTCCTGAGCAGTAACCAGGGCTGGTCCTCGGGGCCTCTGACAAATGCCTCACCCCTACTACACCTGCCAGCGGGCACTGTTCTTACCGCTCTCCAGCTGAGGAAGGAGGGCGAAGGAAGTGACCCATACCCTGCAAGCAGGAGCGGCAGCGCCAGTATCTGAACCCCAGGCACTGGCGTCAAGGATCTGCGTTCTCACCACCTGGCCGAGTCTGTGAATTTCAGGGTAACGAGCTCACACTGCACGGGGTCCTCGGGGCACTAATTCGGACCTGGTCCTTGGCACTCTGCCTGCTCTCACTAGGTTTTCTCTACAGACCTTTCATCTAGTCTCAGGGATGAAACTGGACAGATGACTTCCAAATTTTTACCTCTACTTTTGGGCTCCAGTAGGTGCATTCAATCACCTACTGGCCTGTCGAGCTTACAGGTACAGAGTGGAGCTCTGACCCTCCCCTCGGCTCCCAGCTCTGCTCCTGCTCCGTCTCACCCAGCAGCGTAAGTGACAGCCAGAATCCAAGCTTCGTCCAGCCCTGTCTGGGTCCGTCTCCAAGCAGCAGCCGGGCTCAGGTGCAAGGACACCAGCCTGCCTGGTGCTGCTCCCTTCCACGGTGTCCCGCACCTCAGGCAAAGAAGCGAACCTGGGCCAGGCCCTCAGTGCATGGCCCGCAATGTCACACGCGCACTCCACCCTCCCTCCCCGGACACGCCGTCTCGGCCTCCTGTTCCAGGGTCTGCCCAAGGGCCTGTGCCTCCGGGTCCTTACCCAGCTGGCTCCTTCTCCTGCAAGGCTCAGCTTGAAGCACACCACTTCTCTGAGCCGTTCTCCCCTCCCCGTGAGAGCTGGCCTCCGTGTTCCTCTCAGGGCACTGCGCTCCCTCGCGCTCCCTCAGGCCTTGCTGTCTCCTCGTACATCACAAGTCACCATCTGCTGTGAGTGTGGCGGGGGTGGTGGTGGTGCTATGGCTTATGCCCCCCACCTTTCTCTCTGAGAGGGGTAACGGCAGGGCAGGTGTTACCTGCCGCTGCAGATCCAGTGCAGGGCACATGGCAGGTAGTCAAGGTCCATCGAATGAATGAAAACATGGGCACAACTCTAATTTAAGCCCTCAGCTCTCACCTGGACAGTTACTAGAGCCTCCTCACTGGTCTTGCTACCTTCATTCTCTCTTCATTCCAATCCACCTTCCACAAGGGCTGACAAGAGTTCTAAAAAAACACATTTGATCTGTCACTCCCTTGATGAAAAGCCCACACATTCCCCCACAGCCTCCAGTATCACATCCAAATTTATTAGCACGTCATGAAAGGGCTTTTATAATCTGGCTCCAATTATCTGTCCGGCTCTGACTCTTGCCACTCCAAGGCCCACATGCAGTGATTTGACCACCATTGGTTCCTCCACATGCCATGTTGTTTTTCTCCATCTCTGAAGACTTTTCTTACCCTCCTCCGACTCCTATGCATCTTTCAAGGCCCAGATCAAATGCCGCCTTCTGGAAACCTTCGAAACCTTCTCAAACGTCCTTCACTGAACTTTTGTTGTTACTTTAAGATACTTCACACAAACTAAAGAATGAGGTTAACAGGTATCCCCTAGTATTCTGTCCATAACACTGTGCTAAGACACACACCAGTGGCCTGTGTACCCATCCTACTAAACGTGAGCTCCTGGGAAGACAAAGGCCGCCCATATGGCAACCATACATACGGAGCTTACAGTCTATGATCAGTAGGGCTTGTGGAATTCATTTCTAGTTCCAATTCAATCATCAACTTGCTAACTGACTGGACAATTCACTTACCTTCTCTTTTACTATTTCCTCATCTGTAAAATGGGAACAGTTGCCTCCCTTCCCATGCAGAAGATACACAAAAAAACACCCAGAAACCTCTAAAACTCCTACCAATGCAAAGCATGGCGAGACAACTGCTTCAACGACCATCCTGGCACTGAGAGGCAAACCTCTGGGGACCCTTGCTCTGAAAGGTCCCGACTGATCTGATGAAAATGGTACCTACACAGCCGAAGAATCCTCACTGGGAAGAGCGATCAATTTCAGCCTCAAGCTGGTAAATGCCAATTGGTATAAAGCATACACAGTCATAGCCTTTTCAAAAGCCATTTTTCAAATAAAATGTAAAAAGAGTGAGATAACTCATGCTCAAATCATTAAGAGTAAGGAGTTGTTTTCTCGCCTCCAGCTCTCAGCTGCCCAGAGTGAGGGATGCATCCCAGGGCTCTTGGGGCCGAGACCCCAGGGACCTGTGGTCTCAGACTCCTGCCCTCCCCCAGGGACGACACACAAACCCTTCTTGTTCTCTAAGAGGCATTCTGTGCCATCCTCAGCCACAGCGGCCTCCAGATCTTGTTTACCAACAGCCCTTTGCATGGTTCCAATCCCTTCCCCCTCAGTAACACACCCAGCCTCACCTAAACACAAACAAAACTACACAGTGACTCCAAATTCACAATTTCTATTAACAATGCAGAGAAGGCTATTTTTTTGCCCCACCCCACCAAATCATCCAGCTACTTAGAAATTACTTTCTCAACGTGATATTAATAAACATTAATAAAACATCCAGGTAAACAGAATACTTTTCTGCTTTAAGATTTTTTTTTAACGGAAAATGGGATTAAATACTTCTTCTCCATAGTTTGTCAATCCGGGTGGCAAGTTTTGTTTCCAGTTCACCCAGGTGAAACTAGAAGAGAAGGCGGGGTTCCAAAGACTTGCCCAAGCCCACTGGCAGTGTCAGACAGGCGCACCTTGGATGGCCACTGGACATGAATGGAGCGCATATACTGCAATGAATGCAAAAGGATCAGAACTTTAACAATGATCTGTCAAGTTGAATATACTTGCCCAAACAAAACTATTTCTTAAAAACCAGAATATAAAATGCCCTCTGTTCCAAATTAATGACATGAAAACCATGCAACAATGCAAAACCACTTGTCCTTCCTGAGAGGAGTCCATGTAACCTGACTCTTGTCACAACAGGGTTGAGTTCACAAGCAGAGACTGGAACCCAGGGCTTCTAAGTGAGCCAGCCTATCAAATCTTTCCCACTTGCTAGGAAAGTCATGCTGAAACAAAGAACATTTAATATGAAATGGTATATTTGGGGCTGAAAGCTATTCCAATAGCTTTAATAAATACAGGCTATTTGGCAACTTCTCTCTGCCACGTCTAGCACCTCTGACAAGTTCCTGAGCAGCTATCTCAAGCGCCTTCCAGAATGAAACTGAAGATTCTAGAGACCCCAGTACATACAAACTGGTAAAAGCTGTGTCATGTGACCCAATTTTAAGTGCCAGGATTTCAAACTATGTCAAAGGTTATTCTACAACAAATATTTTCAAGAGAAAGAGAACTAACTACTCCTTATCCAAATGTCTGTCAAACATACACACAAAACTTTAGCTGCAATTTAAGCAGCCTAAGGGACACACCAAGTTCTTTGATCTGCATGAAATATTCTGGTGATGTGAACAAAGTCGGGAATTCTATATTTTCTTATTTAAGCTACAAATATCAAGCTATAATCTTGTCCCAATCTCCACTATAAAAGAGTTTTTAAGCACCACCTAGAGACACCTGAGCAAGCTCCATAAGAAATGCAAAAAACAATTACCCCAAGAAAGAACAGGTAAAAGTCAGTAAGTTAACTCAGCACATTAAACTTGGGTACTACTAGGCAGGACAGCTGAGAGAATGAAAAATGGGCTTAGCTCGAAGTATAAAATAAGGCCCACTACCCTTGGTAAGAAAGGAGAAACTCTTAAAGGGATTCTTAACAGCTAAGACAGGATGCTACTTACTTCCTCATTAAATAGTTTGCTAGTTTCTTTTTTGATTGGGTCTATTAGCTGGACTTGGCCTGCGGAAAAGCCCACTAGGAGAGAGACACTTTCTGCTGTGGCTGTTAGGTGGTTGAAGTCATGACAAGTAGGCTGTGTTCCTTTGTATATCCTTTTATCTATTGGTTTACTCAAGTCAGCAGCCTGGAGGAGAAAGAGAAAAATACACACGGTAAACAGCACATTGAGATGAGAAATCTAAGTCATACTATTTTATACTCCATTATGATGTTCAATCTTAAAAACAAAAGTATTTAAAGTATTCTTTTCAGTTTTTAGCATTTTATAAAAGCACTTTCACATACCTTAGCCAATCTGGTAATATCAGACTACCCATATTAAGTTATTACTGTTACTTTTGCAACATATTCTTCTTCAAATATATGTAAAAAAGATTCCCGGACTTCAGGAAGGAAAAAATCCTCAAGCTACTAAATTCAGTATTTGCAAAATGTATTCCAAGCATTTTCTAACAGAGTAACTCTAACCACATAAAAGCTCAGCTTCCAAATATATCTACAGCCCCTAAAGTTACCTGTAGGGCAGTGACTCTAAAAATGGGGTCCCCAGACCAGTGGTGGCAGAAGCAGCCCCTGGAAACTCGGGTGTACAAGTCCTCAAGCCCCTCCCCACTGCAGGTGACTCTGATGCCCAGTGAGGTTTGGGAGCCACAGCCCACCGTCAGCAGGCGCTCCCTCACCAACCACAGTCCCTCTGCTGCATAAACTTTCAGGTAATTTGCACTTACAGTACATGCATTAGCTTAATCCTTACAATGATCCTTCAAAGGAGATGATAATTCCTCCATTTTGTGGATGAGAATACAAGTTTACAGAAGTTAAATAACTCAGCCAAGATCAACATACCTACTTAGTGAGTGGCAGGACTGGATGTGGAACTCAGGTCTGTTTGACCATAAGGGGGACAGGGAGGACATACACCACACACCCCAGTGTCAAAAGCAAATGACTTCTGACTTGGGCTAAAAGGTATTTTTCAATGAATGTGCCTCTCCCTTTTAAAACAGGATTCTTTTCTTCATGAGAAATGTTCTGGGCAATCCCTCCCACTGTTGTGTTAAAATCACAGGGACAGACAACTCTCGGTGCAGAGGATGTCCTTCAAAACAACTGCTGCAGCCCTGTGCACCGATCCGGGGCTCACAGCTGCAGTCCTCTACTGCCATCCCCTGCAGTAGGTCCTGCTTTCCAGAGGACTGTGGAGCTGCACTGAGTACTCCAATGTTTCATCTTTCAAGTAACAAATACAAATACTGATCAGAAAAGAGGAGACCAGTGGTGGCAGAAGCAGCCCCTGGAAACTCGGGTGTACAAGTCCTCAAGCCCCTCCCCACTGCAGGTGACTCTGATGCCCAGTGAGGTTTGGGAGCCACAGCCCACCGTCAGCAGGCGCTCCCTCACCGACCACAGTCCCTCTGCTGCATAAACTTTCAGGTAATTTGCACTTACAGTACATGCATTAGCTTAATCCTTACAATGATCCTTCAAAGGAGATGATAATTCCTCCATTTTGTGGATGAGAATACAAGTTTACAGAAGTTAAATAACTCAGCCAAGATCAACATACCTACTTAGTGAGTGGCAGGACTGGATGTGGAACTCAGGTCTGTTTGACCATAAGGGGGACAGGGAGGACATACACCACACACCCCAGTGTCAAAAGCAAATGACTTCTGACTTGGGCTAAAAGGTATTTTTCAATGAATGTGCCTCTCCCTTTTAAAACAGGATTCTTTTCTTCATGAGAAATGTTCTGGGCAATCCCTCCCACTGTTGTGTTAAAATCACAGGGACAGACAACTCTCGGTGCAGAGGATGTCCTTCAAAACAACTGCTGCAGCCCTGTGCACCGATCCGGGGCTCACAGCTGCAGTCCTCTACTGCCATCCCCTGCAGTAGGTCCTGCTTTCCAGAGGACTGTGGAGCTGCACTGAGTACTCCAATGTTTCATCTTTCAAGTAACAAATACAAATACTGATCAGAAAAGAGGGCTTCAAAATTACAAGCATCTTCGAGCACACTGAGCACCTGAGCATTTGGAAGTCTGCACCTGGTGTAGGGAAGCCCCAGGGCAAACGAAGGAAGATACTCGCAGTAGGGACTCTCCCAGCCTCACCTCCACTAAGATTGAAATGCGAATCTGTTCTATCAACCTCAGGGGACTGTCTGTGGGATGAAATAAGAGAGTATATACATGAAAGAGCCATGAAAAGTGTAATATGAAGTCCACAATACAAAACAAAAGGAAGTTCTCACTTGGAGCAAGCAGGAAAGGGGTCAGTGGAGAGGGAATTACGTGCTGCACAAGGGGGGGCTGTTCAGCGGAGGCCTAAGAGCTAGCAGCTCCGTCTGCAACAAGTCCCCAGCAAGCCGCAGGAGGGAAGCAGCTGCTGGGCTGGGCCCTAAAGGCAGGGAAGGAGAAGTCCAGGCTAAGGGACCACAGCAAATTGTATCAGGACAAAGGAAGATATCAACAAAAGAAGACATATCTCAAAATATAAAATAAAATACACTAGCAGCTAGAGACAAAAATAAAATACGAAATATGAACTACTGAATTATAACATGATCTCTTTATCAGCATACATTAACTCCAGAGACTTTGTTCTTAAGTTTGCTTAGGGAACTTCCTCTTAAAAGGATATACCTAAAAATATGCACCAAAATATAAAAAGCAATCCAAAGGCAAGCCAAAAACCAGCAGAAAAAAAACATAATAATATCAATTAAAAGCGCAAAAAAACACAATGGTTCTATAAACAACAGAAAAGTAAAAGGGCCTATTTTTCCAAGTATTGCTGATAGCTGAGAGTTAAACTTATGGATGGATACCTTACATAATAACTACACTAGCTGCAGTTCTGGGTATACTTATTGTACATCTTTGCCCACTAACATGGAACTTGACCGATAAATTGTCATCTGTAATTAGACCATACATAAACACACATCTGAAGTATTTTAAATGCCAACTGAAAGACTATTTTCACTCTTAAAGCATATAAATATTTCAAAAACATCTCGTTTACTAATTTAACAAACTTTCTTCCTAGATCGCTGTCAAAGTGTACCAGTCCATGAATAGCTTACTAGTCTGCAGTCAAAATTAAATAGAGATTGGAAATAAGCATTTATAAACTTTTATGGCAATATGACAGAGTAATTTTATATCTTTGAATCTAAAAATAAAAAATTCCGCATGTCATTTTCAGTTTCTTTCTCTAGTAATTTTTTTTTTTAATCTTACAAAAGTATCAGTCCACACAGACTGGGCATTTTAAAAACAGGTCCTTCCACACTGGTGGGAAAAGCACTGGCCTAAAAGGCACAAAGCAGACCTTGGTCCAAGGAACACTGAGAATAGCTCTTACGTAGGGTCATTCCCCTCGGCAACCCCCAGTGGCTGATGGCATTAGAACATCCGAAGGCTGACCAGGCAACATTCACCTACACCAAGCAGGAATCCCTGTGAAACCTGAAGTGACCATTCGGGTGTGTACCCACAAGAATTTATACTTCTGTGAAACTGTGGACTGCACCAGAGGTGCCTGAGCTTTCTGGGGCCCAAGCCCATCCTGAGGAAAGTCAGGACTGCTGATGTCAGCCTTCATTTCAAACAGCATGATCTCCAACTCATCCTGTCCTCTGCTCCACATCCAATTACCAAGTTCTGTCTCTCTTTCTCCTGTGTGTTGCTGTCCTATTTCCTCTCCTTCCTCCTTTTGTTTTGGGTGGGGGGTACTAACCTGTACTCTTTGAGTTCACACACCTTTTTAGTAGCAGTAGTAAAACTACCTAAGTCAGCCCCTCTTCCTCCCATGGGGTTATCAGCACCTGCTGGGCGGGCCAGGTAAAGGCAGTCTGGTAGAAGAGCCCAGACCCTGGCACCGGGCAGGCCTAAGTTCAGACCTTGCCTTGTTTCTTGGTAGCTTGCTGGCCTTGGGCAAAGGTGCTTGTTTCCTCTCCCAGAGCCTCAAAGAACAGACACCCCTAGCTCGCCTGAAGGGAGTGGTGAGGCTGGCAGATATGGACATATAGCCTAGAGCACAAAGAGGCCTTCAAATAGTAGCTGCCCATTAATGATTTGTCCCTGTCACATCCCACCTCTGGTCAAATCCACCCCAACCGCGTGTCACACTGCACCCGGCAGTCGTGCCCTCCTGATCTGCCCTCTCCCTCCTCCCCACCAGCAGCACCAGCTTCTGCCTACTGAACATTTCCTACGCACCAGGACCTTCATGCTCATTTCACTCAATCTCACAGCCACTCCTCAAAACCAGCACTTACATTATCTACATTTTGCAGCTGAGGAACCTGAGAAGGCACTAAAGGGTCAAGGGCCATACTAGTCTGCAGTCAAAATTAAATAGAGATTGGAAATAAGCATTTATAAACTTTTATGGCAATATGACAGAGTAATTTTATATCTTTGAATCTAAAAATAAAAAATTCCGCATGTCATTTTCAGTTTCTTTCTCTAGTAATTTTTTTTTTAATCTTACAAAAGTATCAGTCCACACAGACTGGGCATTTTAAAAACAGGTCCTTCCACACTGGTGGGAAAAGCACTGGCCTAAAAGGCACAAAGCAGACCTTGGTCCAAGGAACACTGAGAATAGCTCTTACGTAGGGTCATTCCCCTCGGCAACCCCCAGTGGCTGATGGCATTAGAACATCCGAAGGCTGACCAGGCAACATTCACCTACACCAAGCAGGAATCCCTGTGAAACCTGAAGTGACCATTCGGGTGTGTACCCACAAGAATTTATACTTCTGTGAAACTGTGGACTGCACCAGAGGTGCCTGAGCTTTCTGGGGCCCAAGCCCATCCTGAGGAAAGTCAGGACTGCTGATGTCAGCCTTCATTTCAAACAGCATGATCTCCAACTCATCCTGTCCTCTGCTCCACATCCAATTACCAAGTTCTGTCTCTCTTTCTCCTGTGTGTTGCTGTCCTATTTCCTCTCCTTCCTCCTTTTGTTTTGGGTGGGGGGTACTAACCTGTACTCTTTGAGTTCACACACCTTTTTAGTAGCAGTAGTAAAACTACCTAAGTCAGCCCCTCTTCCTCCCATGGGGTTATCAGCACCTGCTGGGCGGGCCAGGTAAAGGCAGTCTGGTAGA